AAACGATTCTCCAGCCTTCTGAATGGCAGTGAAAATGACACACCAGGAGATAGTGAACCCGAAATCCCAATCGATGATGACGAAAAAGATGTTTCCTTACCCGACTAAGAAAAAGTTCGAAAGCAATCGCCCGCAAAATATGGTCGAATAAAAGCATGTCGGACGATTGGAATCTAAGTGTGCTCTGCCCATTCCATAAAAAGGCGAACCCACAGTCTGCGCCAAATAGCGTGGGGCAAACTTCCTTAATCTCGCATATAAGATCCAATCGAGCGTTTTGTGTGAAAGGTTAAAGCCCATCGTCGACAAACTGATTGGACCTTATCATTGTGGCTTTAGACCTGGTAAATCTTGGAAAAGACCCGTGATAAAAGGATCGACATTAAAGCAGCCTTCGACAGTGCGTAAAGAAGCTGCCTCTACGGTGCTACGTCTGAATTTGGTATTCCCGAAAAACGTATGTGGCTAAGAAACGCTAAAAGCTCCTGCAGGACTGAGCCATTTGATACCAAACGAGGTTTCAGATATGGCTGGAGAAAATTATAAGAGCTACAGAGCTGAATATGTGCCGCTGCTGGATAGTATTGATATTACTGACCTCAACAATCGCGCCGTGTTTTCTTATTTTTTCCAGTCTGGATAAGAAAGCGAAGAAAACGGGTCTGGTAGTGAACGAGAACAATACGAAATACTCGTATCTCCTGTTAACAAACAAACAGTCAACGCATTTGCAACTCGGCTCCCACGTCATTGTTGACAGTCATAACTTTGAAGTCGTACATAACTTCGTCTATCATGTTATTAATACTGTAGGCAATTGAATATAAAAGTCTTCTCGCGACTCTTCAAGTCACTCATCATTTCCATTCGCATTACACGGCGAAGAAGCGTGGACGATGTCGACAGCTGATGAGTCGACATCGAGAGAAAAGTTTTGCGACCGAGTTATGGTCCGCAACGGCGAATACCGTGGAACGATGAGCTGTGCGAGTTATACGATGACATTGATATCTTTCACCGAATGAAGATACAGCGGCCACGCGGGCAAAATAATTTTGTCCAAGTGAATGAAATCACTCTAGCTTTGAAAGTTTTCGATGCGGTACCCGCCGGTGGAAGCAGACCAGATGGAGAAGGACCTGACTGTACTTGGTATTTCCAATTGGCGCCAATTAACGAAACGAAGAAATCAATAGCCGAATACTGTTAACTCGAAAAATCCGACGACTTTTTAGTTGCCTAAACTAAATTAAAGGTTATTTTTACGTTGGCCACTATAACCGAGTGGTTTGTAGTGAGTATTCTCATTCGGAAGGTCAGACTTCGAGTCCTGGTTCAACATGGAAAACAGTTTCAAGTAAATCCGGTCCAAAATTGTAGAAAATCCTTGGCAGGGAATGTTAAGCCTGATATGAAAATTAAAGCTCCTCATAAAAATACATCGACCGTTCGGAGGCGGCTTAGAATAAACAGCGGTTACAAAGCGCTTATTATATATATATATATATACATATATATTCTTTAAAAGGCAAGTCTGCATCAGTTAAGCATAAATTCTTACATACAAACAAATATATTCAATCCAACTGCGTATATGTTTTTGAATCGAAAACACCCTCCTGGCAGGATACGAATCTGTGTTGAGATTTATTTATAACTTTGTTTTTAACTTTTATATTTTTATTACCTTTAATGTTGTAACAAATTAAATACATATGTGCACACAATTAAGTATTATATATTATATGCTTGACTTCGTATAATTTTTGCTGTTAAAAACTTTTCCTTTTCAACCGACCAAATAAGAGGCGTTGCCAATTTCGAGCGTTATTCTTATGCATACATGCATATATACATACATACATATATACATACATGCATATATACATACATATATAAATATATCTATTTGTATTTGTTTTTGTGTCATAAAAGGTACTTATGTGTACACTCATTACCCTGTAAATATTTTTGGACCATATGATCCATTGAAGTAATCCAATAGGTACTCCTCTGTAGTGAACAAATGGATCAATCAACTCGTTGCTAGCCGATGACTGCTCATATTTTACCAATCGCAATGACTCAACGAAGTTGCAAGTGCGCACTAAGATTTATACTCGTACACAGAAAATGTGTGGAAATGAAATGTGGTCAGTTTCGTTTCGTTAGATAACACTGTTGGTATAGAGACGATACGCAGATGTTTAAGCTAATATATTCCTCATGTAGAAAGACTAAATTGAAATGATATGTTATATGCTTATTGAAAATAAATTATTAATATTAATTTAAAATTATTTTTTAAATATTAAGTTTATTTACTTTTTGGCAAAGCGAATTGTATTCGCAATTAAAAGCCGTATACGAATCTATTGTAATTTTTCGTATATACTATGTAACCCACTGTAAATACTCTAAGGAATTTTTAAGGACTAATTTCAAAACTAATTTTTTTAGAGTACCCCATGGACTACTTGGTAGTTATGTAGAGATGGAGAAGATGGCCCTAAGACATCACAATGTTAATTGCAGCATATATTTGGTTTGAATGTAAGGCGTGGAGTATTTCACGCGTTGCTTGCAGGGTATAAATGCTACTCAAATATTATACAGTAAATTGAAAAAAAAAAGAATTTACAAACAAAAAGAAAAAATAAAATTAAATTCTGCACTCGAAAAGATTTGCTTGTGTTGTCTTTATAACACAAATTATTATATATAAATATATGTATTTATATAGATTTGTCTATACATATATAGACTGGGACATTTCAAAGAAATATTTTTCAAATGTCCTGCGGCCACACATGCTGATATATCGTGTGTATATTTGCGTGTGTGTGTGCGTATAAACAGTAGCTTTCTTATTTGGCTGCCAATTTTATTTTTATAACCGACGCCCGACGCGTAACGCCAACCAGTGCCACAACTCCGTTTATCACTCCTTTGTGCAGTTCATACTTTCAATTCGTTGAAATTCCTGTTCGAAGTCATCATTTCACCACTCTGTCAGTGCGGTCGGTTAGTCAGTGTCATGCTTATGTAACATACTGTTTAACTTCTTGTTTGCGAGTAGGTAACTTTCTTCTTCATTCTTCAGTGGTGTTTTTCAGTAATGTTTTTTATGCTTCTTCTGCTTGCCAAATTCAACTGTTTTGCATATAAATTACACTTTTATTTTGGTAATATTTTTCCAGTTTAGAGTGATGCAAGAAGCAGCTAAGGTATGGAAGTATGTAAATAAATAGCGATACTTGTGCGCTTATACATACACGTATATTCATATATATGAACTTCTTATTTTGATTCAATCTTTGATTTTTTCAACCATTATTTACATATATATTTTTTAGTTATTCGTGTGGTATATATGTACATTTTTACATATACACAATTTATATAGAATTGTATTCACTCAAACTAAATACAGCCAAAATGATGATAAAAAAGTACGCAAAACACATTAAAAAATATTTAGTCTACAAAATCAGGGACAGCTTATACTGGAGTATGAATCTTAGTAGTCCATTTTTCTGTATCTCCCAAATTGACCTATAAGTTGTGATATGGTAGAGGTTTACCTAGGTATTTTGAGGCTCTGGCTTGGATAGAAATGTGTAAGATAGTATCTCATTTCTGTAGCTTTAATATTGCTCTTCTTTAAAGGCGAAGACTTCGAATGAAAAGTCATGCAACAATCCTTCCTTCTTTTCTTGGAAATACATACCGCAGCCAGATTCTTCTCCACCTGATATTTGCAATGGAATAGCTCGGGCGGCAAACTCTCCCTTTGCTGTTTTTCAGGTGAGCAATTTCCATTCGAACTTCTATTTATATTCTTCTTCTATTGTCCTTGATTGGGGCACTGAGCTCGCCATTTTCTGGTGCTCCATTCCAAGCTGTGACCATCAGTCCATACATCACCACTTTGGATTTTATAAGTTTATGCTCCGGTCTTTACGCCTTGGCAGGATTTCCGAGCGTTACTCTTGTCGGCTAGCTTTTCAGGCTATTCATACTCGCGCATCTCGGTCTACTTCTATTTTGGCTCAACATACATCTTGATTCCTTATTCAATTCTCTTCCTATTTAACTTCCATCTGGGCGTCCACCCTTTGATTTTTTGAGGACATTAGCGAGCTGCGCAGTGGCACCTTTCAATAGATAGATCGAACATTAAAAAATAGTCCTTAATACTTTCCTTTGCTTCCCGACCGACACCCGTACGCGCTCGTACCCCTAAAGAATTAGACTTCAGTTAGTCTATAAACCGAGTTGCTTTACTGAAGCTTAATCTCTTTTAGCCGTTACCCAAAGCTCTACACGGATTAGTTGCCATGAACCTCGAACTGCCACCGAAGCAACAGTTCTATGGATGATTTAGGAGTCAGCTAGTGTAACCTAACCAAGAAAGCTCTTCAAACTAATTTTGTGAGAATACAATAAGTTAACTTACAACGATAGTTAGACCCTAACTTGCAAACCAAGCGTTTGCTTAAACTACACCAATCCAAAATTTCATGTAAAGAGAGCCCTAGATACTATTTTTCGAATAGATCGGCCCCAGGTTCACTTTCTGGAAGAAAAAGTATCAACCATATAAATTTAGGTCCAAAGCTACTACTTCTTGTACCAAATTTTATGTGAATCTAACGATAAATAATTTTTTTCCTGGAAGAAATATACTTCTCATGGCTATTTACAGAAAAACGAACGATTTAAAAATAAATTGCAATTTTTCGCATAGACCGGACCCAGATTCTAAGGCATACGCAGAATACTTTTTTCAAGTTCCAAGTCTCTCCGATCAATGGTTTAGGCTGTGGGTTGATACGTCAGGCAATTAGGACACAACCTTTTATATATTATATATAACAAATAGATGAACTATGTATTTATGTGGATGATATCATTAATCATATTAAATTTTATTATTTTAAAATATATTATTATAAATTGGATATTATAAAACAATCATATATTTTTTTTCATTCCAGACAAAGCATCGTTGTAAGTGACACGTGTAGAGCCGAAACCCTCAAATTGACCTTCACAAGGTCTATACGTACAAGCCGTTTTCACACAAGTAAGATGAAATGTAGTTATTAAATGAATTGCATATTTCACACACTCTCTTTGACGAACTCTTTGAAAGAGAAATAATTTTTATTGACCTTCAATATAAAAATGGGGCTTTTCAAAAGTTTAACATAATATTTCAATGAGACAAGTGGGGCACATTATGTAAATGCCCATAGCGTTATGGGGTTGTGATTGGTTATCATTTTGTTTTGTTAGGAAAAAATAATATCAAAAAACACAAGAGACAAAATTTTTATTTTACATACAACTGTATGTACATATGTATATATACATGGAGGAAATTTACATATAATAATTGCATGTATGTGCACATCAATACATTTGTAAACATATTCAATATCTGACAAATGATGAGCCAATACAATACAAGTATGTATGGGTAGATGGGAATGTGTGTAAAATCAAAAGGTGTATGATTTGCATAATTTGTGATCCGAAATGATTTTCCGTTAACAATACTTATGAGAATATAATGCTGTTCGCCCTAATACATACGAACATATATCGTATAATATATATTGTATACGATACATGCGGGTATGTATATGTACGTAGAAAACCTGACAACACCTATACATTCATGCTGTGCTCATAAACATAGTAAAGGGTTTTCCAATAAGATGTGTTATTTTGAATAGCCTGCTATTCCGGTAGATGTCACTTGTGAAGCTGTAATTTTTTGATATTTGGCAAGTAAAAATTACGCCAGTTCTTAAAATGGAAAGCAACGACACATTGAAATTATCAAAATACACTATAAAAATGGTGAAAATATGGATGGTTCGTAACACGAAAACATTTTTCGGTAGTCGTGAAGCACCTTGTCAAACCACAAATACAGAAATCGGTGAAAAAACTGGAGCTGTTGACACAAGTTATTGATGAGAAGAATAAAACATGTCGCTCAAAAACAACTGAGAGTATTGCTGCTGTAGCCAAAAGTATTCAAAGTGTTGAAGAAAACCCTGGTTGGTACATTCCAAGTCGTTCTTTAGAATTTGGCATTGTACAAATGTCATTAAATCGCTATTTTGTATAAAGACTCTTAAGGCTTATAAAATTCTGTAAACAAAAGAACTCAAGTCGGCCGATCATCAACCACATCATGTCTTTGCTGATTGGGTTTTTGAAATGAATGAAAATGATTCAGAGTTTTATTGAAAAGCCATTGATGCCCTTGCTGATTGCGGCCTTGAAACGCTTCAAAATGATACGGAATTTCATTAAAAAATCATTGTGACTGTTGACGCCCGTTTCCACCTCGATGAATACGTGAAAAGTAAAGCTGCCGCATCTGCGGCTTGGAAAACACAGGATTAATTGTTGAAAAGTCTCTGCATCCTCAACGTGTGACTGTTTGGGGGGTTTTATGGTAGGATGGGGTAATTCGATTACTTTTTCAAAAATGAATAAATTGCGCTATCGAGAGATGATTAATGATTTTTTCATGGCCGATATTGGTTGGTATTGATTTGGACAACACTTACTTTCAACAAGACCGCGCAACGTGCCACAAAAGCTATGAAAACATCGATGTTTTAAAGAAAAAGTTTCCGAAATGCGTTATCTCTCGAAGAGGTGATTGCAATTGACCACTGGGGTCTTGTAATTTAACACCTTGACACTTCTTTCTTTGGGACTACGTGCGTTAAAGAGAAGGATGGAATGCTTGGTGCCATTGAGGGCACACAGAAGTCACTTTGCGATTTGGTGATAGGAAATTTCATAAAAAGGTCAGGTGTGGCGGCTATTTGGCTGATGATTATTAATGGCACATCTTTCTCTTTACATTGAAATAAATATCGAATCATTTATCTCCAGAAATGCCTTTCTTCTTTGAATATCTAAACAGCGCCTCTTAATGGAAAACCCCTTAGTTTTTATGAGCGTTTAGAAAGTAGGATTTAAGGAAAAAAGGCTGAATTGATTTGAATGCTCGTACTATTTGGGGGAGAGAAATTATGGGTGATATAGCGGTACTAAGTCAGTATGTTATGCCATGTCAACAAAAATGCTTGAACCTGCAAACAACACAAGCTGATAATGGTATACATGTACAAATATGTACAGACATACATATGCACATACATATTTTCGAATAAGTAAATATATACAATAAATATTGATATTTGACTTGTGGGTGTGAATAAACTGAAACTGGAAGGCAGCCTCTCTTTTTGTTTATGGCGAGATAACTATTTATATGTATGTATGTATGTACCCCTAACAGTATGATATATTCACTACATATAAGTTATATTTTTACATACAACATTTGTACATATATACTCGTGATTAAAAAAAAAAATAAAAATAAAAAAAATAAAATAAAATAAATAAAAAAGAAGCGTATAAAAGAAAATTATGCCATTTTCCCTAAAGTAGGTGGCAACTTGTTTGGTAAAAAGCTGTCAAAACCCGATGCTTCCACTTCTTTTTAATATAACTTGCTGCTGATTATGTAATTTCAGTTGACATTTGTTTGACTAAATGTGATAGAATTCACGCCTCTAGGGAAAAGGACTCTGCGGCTGTGGGCTTCGGTGGGACAAGAGAGTTTCATATATTATAAATAATTATTGAGAAATTTTCAAGGAACAAATGTTTTTCAAAAACAAGTACAAACACTATTTAGAAATCTTTGAAATCACATTACTGTTGAGCTACATTATTTGTTTTACATTTTTAATAAATATATAAATCCAACTGTTATTAATTCGAAAGTGAAGGGACTCTTAAAAAATTGTTCGAGTGTTCAAATTTACTGAAATTTTGAGAGAAATCGATAGTCAGTTAGTATTTAATGACTCGAACTCTTGCTAGGGCCAAAGTTAGGATGTCCGTTGTATCCGCTGATAAGTGTGCAGCTAATAAAGTACAATAATCAAACAAATGTACATTTTTATGTTTTTTATTTTTCAATGCATGCAGTCCCCCTCAAGTGAAATATACTTTACATATCGTGAGTACAATGCCTTTATACCACTGAAAAAATATTCTTTTGATTTCTCTTCAAAATGGATTTCAACGGCCGCTTTCATCTAACTGTCGTCTGGAAGTCACTGGGAGGTGGATGGTCAATTTCTGTAAATCCAGTAGTATTCAAAGCATCCCTCTCGACCCGAGCGTTGTGAAAGAGGATCATACAAGTATCACAACTTTTACGATGCGCTGGCTAGTTTTTCGCTTTTGTAAACATTTTCTTCGGTCACGACCGTCACTGGACCCCCCGCACGGGAGTCATCTTCACAGATCTATCTTTCTTATTGAAACAGACGAGCCAATTTTTTCATGGGAAGATACAGTGTTCTGGAGAACATAACATCTGTCCTCCTTTAAAATTTCTTTCGTCGCACTTCCTTTTTTTACAAAAAATTTGATCACAGCGCAGTGTCCCAAATGGTCAGAATTTGCAGTTGCCCTTGACATAGTGTTTTTGCTTGTTCCAGGAACGAAATTTTAATGAGCCTAATATACATCTAATTATTTATAATGATTATCTGATATAATGTGTTCCGCAATTAGTGATATCAGTAACGAGATATTGCGTCATCTCTAACCACCTTGGGTCACAAAATAATCAGCTGGTCCTCATACACACGTTTGCATATTCATAATGTGAATTATTTAATATTACGAAGGAAATCTGTCATATTGATTTGCTGCAAAGTACATTGCTGCTGCTCAGACCGCTCAATAACTTTTTTAAGGTGTCGAATGAGGCTCTTGCTTCCTTACTTCTTTCCGATGCATCATCCCATCTTATCGTTGCTTCTTTTATGTGTATCTGTTGAAGGTAAAACTTCGGCTTTGGTTAGTGAAGCTGAGATAACGATATCTTCATCCACTGGAACAAAGTCAGGAAAATTCACAGCCATTTGCGATTCTATAATTGGTTCGTCCACTTCTTTATCTGTTTGGAAAGTTTTCCTGAACTTCTTTTATAAAACCGAATTTCTTGAGCTAGTTAAGAATCTTTGGGTGTGTTACAGCTCTCCATGCCTTAGCAATAAGTAAAATAGCCCTCAGCACCGTTCACAGTTAACAATTTCTTTGCGATTGAATGATTGCAATTTGAAAGTTGTGTTAGTGGGAAAGAAGTTAAGTTCTATGTTGGACACTTTAAGAGCACTGTTCGGGACAGTTCAATAATCTAAAAAAGCTCTATTTTATACTTTTTTAGTCTGCATTAACTGTGAAAAGCCAATTGTTAAAAAATATTGCTGTCATTCAAGGTTTTTTTTTTCCTTGGCAAGATAATCAGTGGGCAACGATTTCACTCCTTTGAAACATTGCGGTTTCATTGTTCGGTTACTTTTACTGAGGGTTAAAGAGTTTCTGATCCATCCAAATCAATCTCTCTTTACAATGTTTGCCGCTATGGCATGACATTTTTCATCTTCAGATGTAAGCTTCTTGTCATGTAAAATTTTGAAAATTAGCCCAGTTTCATCAGCTTTAAAAATATCTCGGGCACCATCATAGTTTTCTATCAAAGTCTTTAGCTTACCGTACGAATCTAATTGAATTTATATACTAAAACGTCCAAATTCACCACAATTTTTTTAAATACAAATCCATTTTTCTTTTTGATGTTTTTGAGGATTAAGTTACTTGTTATTTAAGAACTGTCGACTGTTTAACGGCAAAAAGTTCGAATTAATGAGCCGTTTTATTGCTTGGTGATGACTTTTTCATGCATAAAAATGTATTAATTCAGTTCGAAATATTAAGAGATTTTCTAGGGTACTCGCGATGACTTTGAATTAAAGAGAGACTCGAATTATTACAGGTTTGAATTAACCAGAGTCGGTTGTAGTTAATATTATATCGAAAATAATTTAAATACTATAACATTTGTATACCACCATTATGCTTCATTTTTACGCGAGTTTATTCTACTCGAGTTAAGCCTACAAGCATAAATGCCAAATGTGCTACTAGAGTTGAACACAGAAAGGAGTTAATATCATGGCTGCCAAG